TTCCTGGCTGCTGGTGCCAAGAGGGTTGGCTGTGGAGCCAAGCAAACTAAAGTTGTGAACAATCTCTTTACCATCCATCCTGATGCTGCCAATTGGCCCACTGGTGAGAATCTTTGTCTTCTTGACATTGAGCCTCAATCCATATTGAAGGCTGCAGTCCTTGACCTTCTGCAGCAAGTGCTTCAGGTCCTCCTCAGTTTTAGCAAGCAGGGTTGTATCATCTGCATAGCACAGATTGCTGACAGATCTTCCACCAATCCTGATGCCACACTTCTCCTCATAGAGCCCAGCCTCTCTGACAATCTGTTCTGCATACAGGTTGAAAAGGTATGGAGACAGGACACATCCCTGGCATATGCCCATCCCAATTTTGAACCATGCAGTGTTTCCCTGCCCTGTTCTGACGATTGCCTCTTGGTCCAAGTATAGATTTTGCATTAGAACGACCAAGTGTTCTGGGATTCCCATTCTTCTCAGAGTCAGCCACAGTTTGTTATGATCCACACAGTCAAACGCCTTTGCAAAAACAATGAAACACAGATATACATTCTTCTGGTATTCCCTGCTTTCAGCTAAGATCCATCTAACATTAGCTACAGTATCCCTAGTACCACGACCCCTTCTAAACCCAGCCTGGAGTTCTGGCAGTTCTCTGCTGATGCGCTGTTGTAGTAGTTTTTGGATAATGTTCTGCAGAATCTTGTTTGCATGTGAAATCAATGATATTGTTTTGTAGTTTCCACACTTTTTTGGGCCACCCTTCTTTGGAATGGGAACAAATATAAATCTCTTCCAGTCAGTTGGCCAAGTGGTTGTTCTCCACATTTCTTGACACAACTTGGTGAGCAGGTCCAGGGCAGCATCTATTAGCTGAAATATATCAATTGGTATACCGTCTATTCCTGGGGCCTTATTTTTTGCTATTTCCTTCAAAGCAGCTTGAACTTCTTTAATCACCATAGGCTCTTGCTCATATGTTGTTTCATTAAATTCTTCTGTGTCTGCCAATTTCATTTGATATAATGATGCAGTGTATTCTTTCCATCTTCTTTTAACACTTCCTGGATCTTTTAATATTCTGCCTAAAGCATCCTTGATTATAGCAACTCTAGGTTTGAATTTGTTCTTCATTTCCTTGAGCTTAAGAAATGCTGATTTTCCGACTCCAGCTCCTTGCACATTTCATTGTAATATTTTATTTTGTCATCCCGTGCTGCCTTTTGGAATCTTCTGTTCAGCTCTTTAGTATCTTCAATTCTTCCTTGTGCTTTGGCTCCTCTGTGCTCCAGTGAATATTCAGAGTTTCTACTGACATCCATTTTGGTCTTTTCTTCCTCTTCTGTCTTTGTAATGATCGTCTGCACTCTTCCTGCATGATACATTTGACATCTTCCCACAACTCATCTGGTCTTCTCTCTTTAGTGTTCAAGGCCTCAAATCTGTTCCTGAAGCACGGCATGTTGTTGTTGTTAAGTGCTATAGAGTCGGAGGCAACTCACAGCAACCCTATGAAGGAGAGTCCTCAATGCTTGGGTGTCTCTCATCCTCTCTCCAGGTTTATAGGGTTTCCAGAGGCAAGCTATCATGGAAGTGGATGCCACTCCTCCTTCCAAGCTTGTTTTCATCGGGGAGCTCCACCCCACTCTCTGTCTGCATTGGGTAACCAGCCATTAATGCATTTGACACATCAGTGTCACAGTGTTCAGCCTCACAGCAACCAAAGTTACCGCTGTACAGCAACTTGTACACCTAATTATCCTGGGAAGATGTTATTAAATACCCAACCAGCATATCTGTCATAGCAATAAAAGCATCCTCTTCAAGAGTCTCAGAGCACTGAATGATTTTCCTCTTATTTTATATTGGCAAATTTGAGGTAATGAATGGACAATTTGTTTAGAATATCAGCAGCTATCAGAAACACGCAGGGCTATAGCATCCAGACAGTCTGCATCAGTCAATGAACTACTAAGAACCTTCCTTGCCCTCTTTCATTGTTCTTACAAAAATGGATAAAGATGACAGAAATAATTGAAAGAATGCCCTTCCTCAGAGTCTTGACTTGTAAGTCAGTTTATTTTCTCCCTCACTCTTGCTCACCCATTTCCAGGTGCAAAAGCATCATGGAACAGAACAAAATCCCTCCTCACCTGGTGCATTGGTCTTTGGAGTTCTGAAGTGGTAGCTTGGGCTCCATGCACTCCAGAAGCCGGCAAAATACTTTCCATCAGGAATAGAGCGGACTTTAATCTCATACACTGCGTTAGGTTGTAGCTTCCTCTGCAGCAGGACAGTCTTTGTGCTGGTTAAATTCATGTGCTAAAGAGGAACACAGGCTATTAGGTTTTCAGAACAGAAAAAGAGTGGTTGTCCAGGGTTCCCAACTCATTCCCAGCTGAGCTGCTTTTCTCACATGGCCACTCTTTTGATGATCTCTGACATTTGTTAGTAGTTTAAATACCTGGAGAAGTCAGCTGCAAATTTAGGGGCAGAGTATGTCAGGATGATCAGAATAAATGATGCTGAAAGGGGCCAAAGAGGGCAGTGGCTCCCCTCTTTTGGGGGGATGTGCACTACTCTCAGGCTCCAGTCTCTTTATGTGTCAATTTCTTGTTTTTCTTTTTTACTTTTTTTTGGTTTGCTTTTCTTTTTCTTATCTGCCAAATACCAAAGGAGTGAAGAGTTAAAAACAAACAGAAAACCTCACTGCCAGTGAGTCCATTCTGACTCAGAGTGGCCCTGGAAGGACAGAGAAGAACTGCCCAATGGGGTTGTTAAGGCTGTAAAACCTTACACAGTACCACTGCGTCTGATACAGGCCATGGTCTTTGCAATCACTTGTTAGGCATCAGAGAGTTGGACAATGACCAAGGAGGATAGAAGAAGAATTGATGCCTTTGAGCTGTGGTGCTGGAGAAGAGTATTGAGAATACCATGGACTGCTAGGAAAACAAACAGATTTGTCCTGGAAAGGGTTAAACCAGATGGCTCCTTGGAGGCAAGGATTCTGAAGCTCCGTCTAGCATACTTTGGACATGTAGTGAGGAGAGACCGGTCCTTGGAGAGGGACATCATGCTTGGGAGGGTGGAGGGACAGCGCAGGAGGGGAAGGCCCTCTATAAGGTGGATTGATTCAGTGACTGGGATAATCAGGATGGGAGTGTCAGAGACAGTGCGATTGGCACAGGACAGAGCAGAGTTTAGGGCTGTTGTACATTGAGTCGCAAGTGACTCGATGGCACATAACAACAACAACCTCTTTCGGTTAGCAGCTAAATGCACTACCAGAGCTGCTTAGTAAGCATTGTTATTCCATACTGTCAAGTTGGAATCAACTCATAGCTGACCTTCCAGTGAGTTTTCAGAAGCAGTAAGTCACCCAGATTACCCATCTTTTTCCAATGAGACAGCTGGTGTGTTCAAACTGAGTGAATGCCTTTGTGTTGCCCGCACCATCTTTACCAGAGATCCTCTTGTAAGGGTTAGGGAACAAAGATTACTTCCCTCCAGAAGAATCTTACTGTTCATTGCAAACGGCAGCTGTGGGAATAACAGTTGCACAAGTTTCCCCTAACACAATGAAAACATCTATCAATTTAATAGAAAAATTACATTGTTACTTATATTTATTAATTGATTCACAATGTGCCCTGATGACCTAGTGACAATGAGTTGCACTGCCGAATCAAAGGCTTAGGGTTTAAATCCACCAGCTGCACCAGGGGAGAAAGATGGGTACTCTCCTACTGTGTGATTTATCACTTCTGAAAACCTACTGGAGGGTCAGTTATGAGTTGGCTCTGACTCAAAGGTACATAATAACAACATTTAGTGCAACATGTTGTTGTTGTTATGTACAGCTGAGTCGCCTGTGACTCTTAGTAACCCTATGTACAACAGTCCTAAACCCTGCTCTATCCCCTGCCAATCTTATTGTCTCAGACACACCTATCCCCATTACCCCAGTGACTGAACCAATCCATTTCACTGAGGGTCTTCTTCCTCTTTTGCACAGTTCCTCCACCCTCTCAAGCATGACGTCCCTTTCCAAGGACTGGCCCATCCTTGCAACATGCCCAAAATATGTCAGATGAAACTTCAGGATCTTTGCCTCCAAGGAGCCTGGTTTGACCTTCTCTAGGACGAACCTATGTTCTCTTACAAGTCCATGGTATGTATATTCAATACTCTTCTCCAGCACCATAGCTCAAAGGCATCATTTCTCCTTCTATGATCCCTAGTTATTGTCCAGCTCTCTGATGCATAGCAAGTGATTGCAAAGACCATGGTCTGTATCAGATGCACCTTAGTCTCCAGAGTGACACTGTGCAACATATTTATTGAAATTTTTTACTTCTTCTCTAAGAGTATTTTCCAACTTTGTTCATTTTTACATAGTGTGTTTGACCATTAATGATTTCTGATGGCACCTAACAACAACAGCAACAACAACAGAGAGCTATTTATATATTAAGGCTATTGACTACTTCTCAGTTACTTAAGTGACAGTCTAAAAGAAAGCTTAAATTTGCTTTAGAATTTTCATTACTCTGTGTGCTAATATAGTTAAACTACTACTTTTCCTGTCAACTTCTTCCTTTCTTTTTCTGTTTATATGTTGAGGGTTTTTCCCTTTTTTAAAAATGTGGTTAAAGTATACACAAGGAAACAGTGTCAAGTTCAACTACTACATGTATATTTCAATGACAGTGATTACATCCTTCACACTCAACCATTTCCACTATCCTTTTACTCATTACTTCACTACCATTAACACAAACTCAATGAGTAATAAGAAAAAACTCCCTGTTTCCTCTTCCTTCCACACTTGGTAACCAGTCATCTTTGGTTTCTAGACATTTGCTTATTTCTTATAAGTGAGATTGTTATTGTTATTGTTGTGTACTATAAGTTGGAACCGATTGACTGCTGATTCGCCTCCGGGTTTTCAGAAGCAGTCAGTGGCATGGGAAGAGACTGTCCCTCTTTCTCCTGTGGAGCAGCTGGTGGATTCGAGCCCTGTACCTTCAGGTTAGCTGCACAGCTCTCTGCCACTAGGTCACCAGCGCTCCCTAAGTGAAACGGTACAGGATACAGTAACTCACATGCAATTAATAGGGTTATTTAATTTTGTAATTGATTTTTTCAAGATGATATTTTGTGGGTTCATCTATGTAGGCCTGCACGATCACAGTGTTCCTGGCTGCATAATATTTTATTGTATATATGTACCTCAGTTTCATTAATTCATGTCTTTTTGGACACTGTGCAGAGAGATTCCCCCCCCCCCAATAACACGTGGAAGTGATGTAAAACATGGCACTTTCTGAGGCCCCAAATAAAGAGGATTGATTTTGTCTTTATCTAGATTACTAGTTTGACTACCTAAACAGAAATAACCTAAAGAAACAAAATAAAACAATAACACAAAAAAAATTTAGGACCAGAACAGGAGCAGGCCAGGAAAAGTGCAGAGTTTGTAGGAGCTTGACATTTATGCAAGATTTTGCATAATACTAAATGTTGTTGTTTTTGTTAGGTGTTTTTTAAACACAAAATTGTTAGGATTCCTCCTGCTTTAAATATGGCATGGAACAGCAAAATATGTATCATTAAGATTTTAGTTTATAAATTCAGTTGAGCTACATACCATCCATTCGTTTTCATTTTTTTCCTGGTGGTAGGCGACATCATGTATTAATTCTTTTACATACTTCTTTTTCAAATGTGTTGTATTAAATGTCACTACAAAATCTTTGGCTCTCTCGCGATATTCTACTCTTAAATCAAAAGGAGCCTCAGGCTTAACTGGAAAGTAAAAAGAAAGGAGATCAATCTTTAGCGCAGTCAAAACAGCAATAATTTTTAAGTTCCATCTATGCTAAAAATCCCATTTCTGTGCTATGACACAAACTTGGTTAGCTGGCCAGAAAATGACACCTTCTCTTCCTGGGTTCAAAGCCAGATCACACCTCCCAGCATCTTTTGCAGCTGGGTGTGGCTTTATCATTGATGTGAGTATAAATGGTGTGCAGAAACTCTACTCCTGTGTGACTCCGATCTTAATTTCTTTTCAACAAATTAGAGTCCTAGGTTAGTGGCGTAATATGTTATATGTCAAGCTGTTAACGGAAAGATTGGTGGATCAAATCCACTCAGAGCTCCGTGGTAGAAATACGGGCAGTCTTTTCTCCATTATTTACAGCCCCAGAGACTCCATGGAGGGTCCCTATAAATGGCAAAATGGATGGTTTCCATGAGTCAGAATCGACTCGGTTGGCAAGGAACGGATTGAAGAAGGTGGAAGTGGAGGACAGCTTCACTCATTGCTGTCGTGTCAGGAACGTCTCACAGCTCATCATTGTTTGAGTTTCTGAGGCTGTAAATTGGCTGGAGACAGCTCTCTCCAGAGGAGCAGCTCTCTGTGGTCCAGACCTCTGAGCGAGGAGACCTGAATATTGTTTGGAGGAGCACCACTTACAGGTTGAAAAACCACTGCAATAAAGTTGATTGGAACTCGTAGAACAGAGAAGTAACCCACAGGGCTTCCAAGACAGTAAGTCTTTGTGGAAGCAGATAATCTTTATTGTCCTCCCTTCAAGGGAGTTAGAACTGCTGAGCTTTGGGTTGGAAGCTGAATTCTTTCACCACTGCGTCACGAGAGCTCCTTACGCACAGGCTAAGAACACTCATTGATGCTCTTAATTGAATATAAACAAAATACATTGTGTTTAACAGATCACGTTTTTTTGAGGCATGTTGTTATGGCAGCGAGAACGTGCTTTCTTTCCTGGTTGCACACATAGAACCTGTTACTAACTTGCCCCAAAGCAGAGACATCTAAGTTTTAACCAGAGGATTCTGACTCAGGGTGAGCCTGCATGTCCGAGGAGAATTGTGTTCCATAGACTGTTGGGTTTTGTTTTTATTTTTAAATATTGATTTGCTTACACTCATTCGTATACACTGAGTTTTATACAATTATAAATATACATTTTCTTTTACATAATTAATTACTATTGCTCAATGCCTATTATCACTCTCTTCAAGACCTCGTGGAATTTTTTCTATTCCTTCACCCCTCCCCCATTAAATTCTGCTATCTTACTGATTTCTCCCCTTCCCTTATTCTGCCCCTCTTCTCTTCTTTCCCTCTCCTTTTAAACATTTATACATATCTTGCTCAGTTATTCTCCTATTTTCACAATAGTGGTCAATGCAATATTTGTCCTTATGTGACTGAGATATTTCACTCAGCATAGTGCTCTCTAGTCTCCCACATGTTATATTTTATGAAGCCTTAGTGCTTTATTGTATTTATTTCACTGTGTGAATGTACCATTATTACACAATCTATTTGTTTATTAATGGGCATTAAGACTGTTTCACTTTTCTTACTCTTGTGAATAACTGCTGTGAACAAAGATGTACGTATCTCCATTCATGTTTCAGTTTTGATTTCCTTGAGAAAGATTCCTAGCAATAGAATAACTGGAATATGGGTGATTAGCTTTTTGAGGAAATGCTAAGCTGCCTTTTATAGCAGTTGTACCAGTTTACAATCCTTCCAGCAGTACATAAGAGTTCCAATCCTTCCACATCTCCTCCAACATTTATTATTTGCTATTTTGTTACACTTTGCTAGTGCTCCTGTAGTGAGATGGTATCTCATTGTTCTGATGTGCCTCTTTCAGATTGCTAGTGATTTTGAACATTTCTTCTTGTGTTAGTAATCCAAATGTCCTCATTTGTGAAGTCTTTTTATGTTTTTTGCTCATTTTGTAATCGGGTTATCAGTGTTTTCCTTGTGAAGGACCCGAGTATTCTCTAAATTTTAGTTATAAGACCCTCGTCTGAAATGCTATTGCCAAATGTTTTTCCCAGTCTGTGGGCTTCCTATTCACCCTCTTAGTGAAGATTTTTGATGTACACAGGAATTGATATTAAACATGGGAGAGGCTAGAGAGCATTATGCTGAGTGAATTAATTCAGGCTTGTAATAATGACAAATACTGCATAAAACTATTAGTAATATGTGTAAGAATATCCAAAGAGGGAAGGGAAGTGTGAGGTGCTTAGAGTGGGGATGGGAGAAATCACAGGGTTGTAAAATCATGGGGTTGTACAGTTTGGTGGGTGGAGGGAGGGGGTAAATCAATTAGGAAGATCCAGCAGGAATCTGAAAAGACAGAGTAATAGTGGGCATAGATCAATGGTGGTTAATTTTATAAGACAAAATGTATGGGAATAATTGTAAGAAACACAATGTGAATGAAAAGAAAAAAAAAAAAAGAAACCAAAAAAAACCACCCACCAAACCAAAGCATAAAAAACCAGACTGTCCTAATACTTGATTTTATTTTCTCCTGGTTGCACATTTTTCTTAATTGAGATATTAATGAAAGTTTATAAAGAACTCAGATTTCCATTCATCCATTGTTGCACATTCTCCTCCCTGACCCTCCTTCCCCCCCCCGGCCCCCCGCCCCAAGTTGGCTATTTTCTTTGGGAAAAAAGGTCTTTCATTGTTATACAGAGCACCTCCCCTGACCACTTTACTATGCAGCTCTTATTTTGGACTCTTGTTATGCCAATAATACCTAATCATGTATTTCTTTTATACAGTTCCCTCCCCCATCTGTTTCAATGCCATGTACATTATTTATCCCCTCTTTTCTTCTGTTTTATAACAGTGGAATTATGAAGTATTTCACATAGCATAATGTCCTCCATGGTCGCTTATTTTGCATAATAGTTCATGAGTTCTTTATTTTTCAGTGCTGTGTAATATTCCATCTTGTGAATATACCACAGCTTCTCTATCCATTCATTTGTTAATGGGTACTTGGGTTGTTACCAACTCTTTGATATTGTGAACAAAGCAGCAATAAACATGAGTGTGCATATATCTGTTTGGGTGGCAGTTCTGTTTTCTTTAGGGTATATTCCCAGTAGTAGAATTGCTGGGTCAAATGGTACTTCTATTTCCAATTTTTTTAGAAAATGCCATTCTGCCTTCCATAGTGATTGTACTATTTTACACTCCCACCAACAGTGAATTAGGATTCTAATTTCTCCACAACTTCAGCAGCATTTGCTGTTTGCTGCCTTGTTAAATTTTGCTATTTTTACTTGGGTGAGATGATATCTCATAGTTGTTTTGATTTGCATCTCTCTTAGAGCTAGGGATTTTGAACATTTCTTCATAAGTTTGTTTGCCATATGAATGTCTTCTTTGGTGAAGCTGTTCGTATCCTGTTGATTGCACAGTTTTGGCTATGTTTGCATGCCTAGTTATGCTGTAGGCTAAGGATTCTAAGTTCGTTGCCATTTTGTCTTTTATGAAATTCATATAGGTCTCTGATGGATGCACGTTGAGTTGGGTTTTGTGTATGGTGTGAGATGTGGATCCTGTTTCTATTTTTTTGGAGATAGGTTCCCAGCTTTGCCAGGACTATTTGTTAAAGAGATTTTCATAGGGTTTTGATGACTTCTATTTTGGAAATAGATCTTCAAATTTCAAGGTGGAATAGAATTCCAACCTTTAAGTTAGCTCCTGAGTGTGTGCACATTAACCATTTATTTCTACCCTCCTGGGTCTTCTAAATCTTTGAGTCCTCATTGTTTCAATAAAATTGGAACCTGATAGAGTCTTGCATTTCATCTGATCAGCACCAAGGTTGAGAGTCTTCATTCTGATCCTGGCTCATGTATTGCAGGGATATATAAACATGCCCCCTATTCCAATCTTGTCTGCATTACCTCTAATTGCCTAACCAGTTTTCTTCTGTTGGTCTACTCTACAAAGTTGCTTTTAGGATCAAATGCACCTGATAGAAAATGCCATTGGAAGACATTGTTGTTGTTGTATGCTGTCAAGTCAGAACTTCCCCTCCAGTGGGTTTACATGAGCAGTTAATTGCATGGGAGGAGATTGCTCATCCTTCTCCTGCAGAGATGTTAGTGGAGTCAAACTGTGTGCCTTTGGACTTGTAACGCAGCTTCTTGCCAATAGGCCACTAGAGCTCCCTGAAAGGTATTGTTGTTGTTGTTATGTGGCCTGCGATTCATAGAAAGTATAATAGCTCTGAACCCTACCCTATCCTAGCCAACCTCACTGTCTCTGACACATCTGCCTCTATTACCACAGTTATTGTGTCAATCCATCTCATCCAGGGTCTTCTTGTCTTGCATTGTCCCTCCACCCTTCCCAGTATAATGTCCTTCTCCAAGGACTGGTCTCTCCTGGCCACGTGCCCAAAGTATGTGAGATGGGGTTTTAAAACCCTCGCTTCCAATGAGCAGCTTGGTTTTACCCTCTCTAAGACAGATCTGTTTGCTCTCTTGGCATTCCATGATACATTTAGTACTCTTCTCCAGCACCACAGCTCAAAAGCATCCACTCTCCTTCTGTCCTCCCTAGTCATTGTCCAACTCTCTGATACATTTAGTACTCTTCTCCAGCACCACAACTTAACACCATTGATTTTTCTTCTATCTTTCTTAGTAATTGTTCAGCTCTCTGGGACATCTCCAGAGTGTTAAAGAACAAAGGTGTCAGTCTAGAGACCAAGGTGCATCTGATCCAAGCCATGGGCTTCATTAGGTATTAACAAAGCCTGAGAAGATTTAACACCTAGAAGTGCATTTATGATTAGGTTGCTTATCCTTTACTGGCCATGGCTTCTTTGTCCATGCCTTTTCACTGCTCTCTCCACTCCCCAGTGGTCCAGGAAAGAGGAGGCTATCTTTTTTTTTCTCATAATTAAAGTCAAGCAGATTTATAGCAACCCTAAGGAATGGGTAGA